TTCACATGTATTATCGGAGCTTAATTTACTTTATTATATTATATTATGGATTTTGATGTTGATGTTGATGTTGATATTGACTTTATGCTATGCATATACAGTCGTAAGAGTTTTTTATTTTTTAGTTTTGGCCACACGATTGTAAGAGTTTATGGGTAAGGAAGAAGGATGAAGATAAGGAATTCCTTCTTGTTGTGGCATTTCCAGTCTTGGTAGTTATGTAACCATCAATGCAAGAGAAGCAGCTAGCCTGGCAGGTCCATACCATGCAACACGGCCATACATTTATTAAATTTTGAATAAATAAAAAAAATTAAATAGTTTTTTTATTCAATTAATTGATTTTTTAAAACATTTTCTTAAACAAAGAAACATCATTAAACTAGGGTAAAATACATCTTTATATGTTGTAAAACACGACTTTTAAATAAAAATATTATTTTAATAATTATTTTATAAAAAATAACTATTTATAACTGAAAATATCATCATTGAATTATAATATAAAAGATAACTTTATATATTTGTAATGGTGTTTTTTAATTATTTTATAATTTTTGATTTAGAGGTATTTTTGTAATATGTCAATTTATCAAAAGACAACTTTTAATATAAAAAATTACTTATAATTTAATAATCCAATAATCACGTTACATGACATTTCGTTTCAATTGATAAGACTTTTAATAATTACAGTTTTTTATATGAAAAAATAAAATTTTTTATTGTAAAAATACACCAACATTGTGATGCGTGGAGATCGAAAGAGAAAAATAGACAAAGAAGGGGAAGAAAAAAGAATGAACCATTATGCTTTTCAATACCAGTTTGAAGAGAACACGAGGAAACAAAAGAAGGAGAAAATGGAAAAAAAAAGAAAAGAAAAACAATTAAAAAATTATACTTAGTTTAATTGGAATATTGTTAATTTTTTAAAAAAATTTCAGTTCAAAATTATGAGTTGTTTTTTTGAATTATTAATAAAATAATCTTGATTGAACTATTTATTTCTTTAAAATTTTTCCTTTTTTCATGGTTTTTTTAAAGTTGAAAAACGTTTAATAAAAAGATAATTAAATTAGATTTTGATACTTTTTTTTATTATTTGAGAGTAATTATGACTTTTCGTATTTGTAAATAATTATTAACTAATGATAACTAAAAGTCAAAGCGACCTAGTAATGCATTTAAAATAAGCAGATCAAAACATACTTTAAAGGTGTATTAAGGTTTTTTTTTGTTTTATTTTATCCCATTAAACTATGTATAAACATTAACAAGCAAAAAATAATTTGAAAAAATGTAATTCAATTCAATGCATATAAAATGAACATGTTGGCAATAGCTAAAGTTAGTACTTAATTAATGATGAAAGCAAAACTTAAGCCTAATATGATCTATTTATTAAATATAGATGTTTGTTCCTAACAAACATAATTGTCTGTTTCTAACGGATGCAATTGTCTTGGTTTTCCAATAACTGTTTGTACAAACATAATTCTCCGTCTAAACAGACAAAACCATCTGTCCGAACACACATCTATTGATAATTAAAAAAATAAAAATAATTTATTATTCAATTACCTCTACTTGCATCTCTCACAATTGAAGTGTCTTTAATTTAATTAATTTCAAGACCAATCAAGATTTTAAAAAGCCTAATCATCGTCAAATTCGTACTTTAACCCACTTTAATCTAACTATAATGAACTCATTCTTGTCTTTATATAAAAAACTTATTCATAAGATTTAAAATTTTATGTTGATATTGACCTTCTGCTGTGGACATACAGTTGTAAGAGATTTTTCTTCTTTTGTTGGCCACACGATTGTAAGAGTAAGAAAGAAGGATGAAGATAAGAATTTCCTTCTTGTTAGTTAGGGAACCATCAATGCAAGAGAAGCACATAACCTAGCAGGTCCATACCATGTAACTGGTCCATACATTAAACATGGTTAGTAGGTAAGCTAACTATTAAATTTTAGAGAAACAAAAAAAATTAAAAAAAGTTTTTTTAAAATTAAATTAAGCTAAAATACATTTTAGCATATTGCAAGATACGATTTTTTTTATATAAAAATATTATTTTAATAATTATCTTATGAAAAAAGTAACTATTCATATAATAAGATATCACCTTTATATTATAATAGTGGTTTTTTTAATTATCTGATAATTTTTGTATTATACTAAAAAAACATAATTTTTGATCTGGAAAATCGTTTATAATTCAATAATCACACTGTATGATGTACTTTTCACTTGATGTAACTTTTAATTAATCATAATTTTTCATTAACAATCTTTCATATGAAAAGATAGTGAGAGATAGACAAATAAGGGGGAGAAAAAGAAGGAATCATTATGCTTTTCGTTACTAGTGAGAAGAGAATGAGAAGAAAGGAAGGAAGGAGAAAATAGGGAAAAAAATGGAAAATAATTAAAAAATTATACCTAATTTAATTAGAATATTATTACTTATTTTTTAAAAATTCTTTTTCATTTCAAAATTATGAACTTTTTTAATTGTTAATAAAATAATCTTGATTAATCTATTTATTTCTTTTAATTTTTTCCCTTCTTCATCATTACGTGTTTTTTTTTAAATTGATAAACGATTAATAAAAAAGTATTTTTTTTTATTATTTCATTAAATTAGATTTGGATGTTTTTCAATTATTTGAAGATAATTATGACTTTTCATATTTGTAAATAACTATTGACTAAAGGCAACAAAAAGTCAAGAGACCTGACAATGTATTTTCATATTTTACCCCATTAAACTATGTATAAACATTAACAAGCAAATAACAATTTCAAAAAATTAATTCAATTCAATGCATAGAAAATGAACATGTTGACAATAGCTAAAGTTTGTACTGAATTAATAATAAAGTCTAAGAGTTAAGACTTATTAATTAGGATTTTATTTCTTCACAAGTTTAGCTTCTGTTAGCTACATCATTCCAATAACAAATGTCCATGTGGAATTTATCATCCAAAATTTTGAAAAGAGAGATTCTAATTTGATATATAATAAGTTTACATAAAAATTTTTAGTATGATATCCTTATATATATTATGTTAGAACACATGATTCGAAAATTGAAAATAATAGTAAATGGCTTTAAGACGTGTATCAATGTCATTATCATCTAAGGTTTTATTCATTTTCATTAATAGTGGATAAAAGGGTTATAAATGATAAATTTCGAAAATATAATAAAACCCAACGATTGACGATTTTACACTAACAAAATCAATTTATTTATAGATATAGATATTGTTTCTAACAAAGACAATTGTCTGTTTTTAACGAACACAATTGTCAATTTTCAATAATTACAACTATTCTTCTTTTATATTTGGCGATTGATTTTTCAATAGTTATGTGTATGGACATAATCATTTATCTAAGCAAACACAACTGTATGTTAGAATAAACATATCTACTAATAATTAAAAAAATAATAATTTATTATTTAATCACCTCTACTTGCATTTCCCATAAGCAAAGTACTTTTAATTTAATTAATGTCAAAATCGACCAAGATTTCAAAAAACCTAATCATCGTCAAATTTGTACTTTAATCCACTTTAATCTAAATTATTATGAACCCATTTTTCTCTTGATTTAAAAAACTCGTTTATTTATTTTCCATTTTCAATGTTGGATTGCATCCAACATTTATAATAACTTTAATTATAACCCTATAAAAAGTTAAATCCCATCTTTGGATAAATCCACGTACATTTAATTTAATTAAATATAATTATGTGTATGTATTTACCACTCATTATTTTATTATATTTTTAAGGCAATCACCTTTAAGGCAAGCCTTTCTGTTGAATGAAATAGAAACACGTGCCCTTTTCACCATTTCCGATGATTATTAAATTGATTAAAGGCAAACATAAAATAAAATCTCGGTTACTTTCACATCTTCCTTCCTTTCTTTTCATTCAATAACTCGGACAGATAATCATGCGTCAGTTTAAAATAATTATACATTATCACTTAATAATAAAATTTTATTTTATAAATATGTAAAAATAAAATTTTTAAATATTTTTAAAATTATAAATATTTGTTTTTAAGAATTTTTGACTTTTAAATTTATTTATTTACGAAATGATAATATTTAGTTTGTTAATATTGTAACCAAAATCTTAAATAATTTGACCATGAGTTTGAGAAGGTAAATCCCATATAATCAAAACTTTTGACATTCTTCTAATTTTATATAAATATCATATCATAAATAATTTTATTTAAGATATCAAAAAAGAAGTTTACAAAAAATTATAATTATAATAAAATAAGAGATGAATAGTTTCTTATATTATGAAAAATTAAAAAATAAATAATATTTTCATTCGATGAATTTGATTTAACGATTAATACACACATTCTTTACTTAAAAAAACCCGAATTTGAATCACTTATACGTTGTTGATACCTCAAAATCCATTCCAAAAACAATAAAAAAAAACTGATACAACGAAGGTATCTATACCTTGGTTCTTACCAAAATACATACCACATTTAATATTATGAATGTATCTAAATTTTTTTTACCATATTCATACAAAAAATAGGATAAAAAATTCATTCATTTTTTTCCTAATTTTGTTGGAAAATTATGGTAACTTTAGTAGGGTATTAAGTGTAATTTTCTCTTATTAAAAAAAGTTACCAAAGTAAAAATTTTAAATGATAAAAATGAAATAAAAGAAAAGCAAAACCATAAATTTCTTACCAAAATAAATAAATAAATTTCAAGTAAAATTGGGGAAATATACAAAAAGTACGAAAGTCAGAAAGGGTAAGACCGGAAATAAAAAATGTTGCTCTCTTCTCTTACATATACATGCAGCAGCTTATATAATTCTCTCTCAAACGCTTGTCTCTGCACAACTCATCAGCCCCTTTTCTTCGCTTTTTCTCACAGAAATTTAAGAGAGAATCCAGGTCGGTTGCCGGTGACTGAGAACTGTCAGTTTTAGTACGACGAGCTCGACATATTTAACCAATGGCAATGCAGAGTAGCCTCGCGTTCTCCCACCGACTGGTTCCTTCGAGCAACCGGCTTTCTCGGGTTCCGGTTATCCGCATGCCCCCGGCTCCAACTTGTATCCGGACTTCACTGAAATGCAGGAGCTCTCTGTCAAGCTCTTCTCTTGGTAAATTTTATGTTTTATTTTTTAAGATAAAGATATGTCCTTGTTTTCTTGTTTGGTTGCCGAGAAAGTGCGGGAACTTTGAAGAAATCTTGGGTGTGATTTGTTTGAATGAGGGAAATGATCGAAGTAAATGATGATAGTGAACTGTTTTATTAAGGATAAAGTAATGAGAAACTACGATAAATTTGATTCTTGTTTGATTATTTAATCATTTACTCTTGGTAAGCTTTTTCTTTATGAATTGCTCAGACAGTCAAGTAAATTTGATTTCTTTTCCCTTTGGTTACTGAGAAAATGAGGGAAAGAAGGATTGAAGTTCTTAAAATATTGTTTTTTTTCTTATTTTGTTTGATAGAATAAGGAACAATTTAAACAGATACATAGGCACAATGAATTGCCTTTTTTTTTTTCCCATTTTGGGGTGTAATTTTTATTGATTCAATTGTATTTTCGGCTCAATTGAAAGCGAAAAGGGACTCTTTTTTTCTTGGTATGTGTTTTCAGTTACTGATGAAACGAAGTTTGCTGAGGCAGCGAAGAAGGGAAATTTGGTGCCCCTTTACCGTTGCATTTTCTCTGATCAGCTGACTCCAGTGCTTGCATACCGGTGTTTGGTTAAAGAAGATGATAAGGATGCTCCAAGTTTTCTTTTTGAGTCAGTGGAGCCTGGTTCTCGGGTTACAAGTGTTGTAAGAGCTTTAACTATATACTCTTTTGTTTTTTTCTTTTCTTCTTCGAATTGCGGGGTTATATTTATCTTGTACTTTTGTTTGTTATTGGGTTTGATTGTATTAGGGCCGTTATAGTGTGGTTGGGGCTCAACCAACAATGGAAATTGTGGTGAAAGAAAACAAGGTTATGGTTATGGATCATGAGGAAGGATGTTTGACTGAGGACGTTGTTGAAGATCCGATGTTGATCCCAATGAGAATCTCGGAGAACTGGAAACCCCAACTTATTGATGATCTTCCTGATGCATTTTGTGGTGAGAATGATTGGTCTTTTGCATGTCTAATTGTCATAAATCTCTATTTGATATGTTTTCTAGTGACCTCCATGTGTTGATAGTTTGCGTTTCTCATCATTAATCCTTATTAAATACGGATCGATTGTGTGATTTTGTAAGAGGTTCAAATTCCGCGCCTTATTTGATCATTAGTTGAATGGTTGGTTCAAATTTCGTGCCTTTTTCGATCATTAGTGATGTTTCTTGATTGGTTAGTTCAAATTTTGTGCCTTATTTGATAATTAGTGATATTTCTTGATTGGTTGCTTTGATTTGCTATGCTCATATTAAGGAAAGTAGACTAATAAGTAGTCAACTGTTGGTCGGTAATTTAACGGCTGTTATTTATTGTTTATTGACACTGGCAGATGGATGCTTTGACATACAACTTTTGAGTGAATTCATTTCTACATTGGGAAAAAAGTGGACAAGTTTTCTCATTCTGGGTTGAATATAAAACACTGTAATAATTTCAGGTTTTGGAGTTTTTCAATGCCACCATGTCTTATCGTGTAGTCTTAACCTCTTAGTATCTAGAGTCTTAACCTCTTAGGTGCATAATTCTAGTAACATTCTCCTGTCCTAAGTACTTCGTTGTCATAATAGTGTAGGACAACTCTGATATCACGTCATTGTTGGTTGATTTGGTGTCTTTAAGAAATCTTTAAACTCACACTTTCTATTAAATTCCTGTGACATGTAGGTGGATGGATTGGTTATTTCTCATATGATACAGTTCGCTATGTAGAGAAGAAAAAGCTTCCATTCTCAAAGGCACCACAAGATGACAGAAACCTCCCAGACATGCATCTAGGGCTCTACAATGACGTGATTGTATTTGATCATGTGGAAAAGGTATTCCTTTACTCCAACAATTCATATTGTCTTGCATGGGATGCTGAGTACAAGATTTTAGCTCCAATTATCATTCTATCAGAAACATAGACAGTGTGATGGAGTAATATTGATATGTTCTTTTTATTTGCAGAAAGCATATGTAATTCACTGGGTGAGGCTTGATCGACACTCCTCTGTTGAAAAAGCTTACAGTATTGGAGTTGAGCACCTTGAGAATTTGGTGTCTAGAGTGCAGAATGTTGACCCGTGAGCAATAGTTGTATGGTAGCATTGATTTTGATTAAGTTCATATGCTTTTTAATTCTCTGACATCATTTTGTTCTGATTTTGTTCTTAGCCCAAAGCTATCTCCAGGTTCTATTGATTTACAAACTCACCATTTTGGCCCTTCTTTGAAGAAGTCAAATATGGAAAGTGAAGAATTTAAGAGGGCTGTACTACAGGCAAAAGAACATATTCTGGCAGGGGATATTTTCCAGATTGTATTAAGTCAACGTTTTGAACGGCGAACATTTGCTCTCCCCTTTGAAATATATAGAGCTTTGAGAGTTGTGAATCCAAGTCCATATATGGCTTACTTGCAAGTTAGTTTGTTCCTCTTTAAGTGCTTGTTTAGTTTTGAATCTGTGAATTATTCGGAAGTTGCATTGTGAATTTTGTTATTTTGCATGCTCTTTCAGGCTAGAGGATGTATATTAGTTGCTTCAAGTCCAGAAATTCTCACCAGGGTGAAGAAGGTAAACTTTTACAATTTCTTGATTGCTGAGTTTTCCATTGGCTGTCTCTTTTTACTGATTTAAAATCATCAAGCACTCTGCTTAGCTATTTGATGATCTGAATTTTTGTATTGGCATGAACAGAATAAGATTGTGAATAGGCCATTGGCTGGAACAGCAAGGAGAGGAAAGACACCTGCTGAAGATGAGCTAGTAGAAAAGCAGTTGCTAAGTAATGAAAAGGAATGTGCAGAACACATCATGCTTGTTGATTTGGGACGCAATGACGTTGGAAAGGTCATTCCATAGCGATTTTAATTCTGTATATCATGCCATGCATTTTTGGAGATTATTTTCTTGTGCTCTAGCTTTGTAGGGGTATTACATTAATTCCATTTTCTTCCTGTGCATGACAGATTTTCCTAATAAAGAAATCGAATTTTTCACTTTCACTTAAAACTTCATGTTTCCTCTTTTATTACCTTAGGAAGGCCAGGAGTCTAACTGGTTGTTTCTATATTATTGGTGTAGGTCTCCAAATATGGTTCTGTGAAGGTGGAGAAGCTGATGAATATTGAACGATATTCACATGTTATGCACATAAGCTCCACAGTAAGTATATATGCTTTTCGCATCTAAACATTTGTTGACTTCTTGTCATTATGTTAAAAGGCATTTTCGGACCGAAATTTCTTGGGATATATAGCATTATTTGATAATTTTATTGCATATCTAATAGGGGTGATTTAAGGATTTATGATGTCTTCCCAACTGCTGTCTAACTGATATATTCTGATACCAAAAATGAACTTGTGCATTCAAATATTTTAGAATGTTCTGATTAGTTATTTGCTTCATTTTGGTTTCTTAATGTCCCACAATCCAAGGAACTTGTTTTAAACATTCTTTTAGTAATGTGGCATACAATTAAATAATCTTTTCTTTTTTGAATTTAAATTATGCAGGTTACTGGGGAGTTGCATGATCATCTCAGTAGTTGGGATGCCCTGCGCGCTGCACTTCCTGTTGGAACTGTTAGTGGAGCACCAAAGGTTCAGTACTTCTTGTCCTTTACATGTTTTATGCAAATCCTGTTTTTTCAAACGAAAACCGAATGCTTTCAAGTTTGCCTTGAGCCTGGTGTTACAGTCCAGCCACCATTAAATAGGCACAAGTTGCACAGTCCTCTGGACTTCTTACAACTCATAGCTGCGTTGCTTACGTATTTCTTTCCCCCATAGCTTTGATCATGATTGGGACATTGATATAGGTGAAGGCCATGGAGCTAATTGATGAGCTTGAGGTGACCAGGCGAGGCCCTTACAGTGGAGGATTTGGGGGCGTCTCCTTTACTGGTGATTTGGATATTGCTTTGGCTCTCAGGACCATGGTATTCACAACTGGAACTCGCTACGACACAATGTACTCCTACAAAGATGCTGGTAGGCGCCAGGAATGGGTAGCTCATCTTCAAGCTGGCGCTGGTGTTGTGGCAGACAGTGATCCGGATGCTGAGCACCATGAATGCCAGAGCAAAGCCGCTGGCCTTGCTCGTTCCATTGACTTGGCAGAGTCTGCATTCATTAACAAATGATGCAAACTCTTTTTATCAACCATATGAGTTCTTCACCAACCATGTCGAGCTCAAGTTCTCTTTCTGCTTGTTAGAATTTGTCTGCAATATAGTTGCGCATCATTTTTTAGCAGCTACTTGAGTTGTTCACCAACCACGACCGGCTCAAGTTCTCTTTCTGCTGTTTAGGATCTGTCTGAAATACAGTTGCCTCACCTCGGAAGAGATGGTAACTAAAAATAGGAACCACAGGATGTAAATTATAACTTTTATATTAGTTTAAGTTTATAATAAAGTTATCTTTCAGACGATTAAACTTTGTCATCTCAGTGGCTATCCCTCCTGCTTTGCCCCTGTTGCCTGCTATCCTCTGACGCCTCCCCTAAGCAACAGCTTAATCACAAACCTTAATGCATTTAATTTATAAATGATTAATAGTTTATTAATTATGGCTAATCATTTTCTAGTTACTTCAAAGGTGACATTAAGGCCGAATACTGCCAAGGAAAGAGCTTCAAAGTTCAGACTCGTTTTGTCAACTCTAATTTTTGTTGTTTTGGCCAATCATTTTCTAGTTATTTCGAAGGTGACATTAAGGCAGAAGACTGCCAAGGAAAGCCGGTCAGAGTTCAGACTCCTTTTGTCAACTCCAATTTTTGTTGTTTTTGTCTTAACTACAATCACTTTAATGAGACAAATGAGGAATTTCCTACTGGCTTGATTGACGTGACTGCAATTTTGCTGGCATTTGTCCTACTACTGGCTTGATAAACGTGACTGCCGTTTTTTCAACTATTAGTTGTTCAATCCGAGCTGTGTTTCACATGAATTTTCTACCTCAAAATGTTTCCCAGTCGTGTTTTGCCATTTCTTGTGCATGGCATGGGGAGTGTTTTCTTGTAGTGAAGCTCTCTCCTGTTTGGGCGAAGACTCAGAAAGTCAATGTTATTCTTTCCAACCTTCTGATCTTCCATGTGAACCTCTCATGGATGAAATTTCCAGCTGGGGCAAACGAGTCGTTTTCAGCTATACTGCCAAGGCCTAGCCAACAAATTCTGAAGCCCTTTTTAGATGTAGGAGAATTGGGAGGACATGGACAGCAATTAAACCAGCTTGTTGCTCAATTCAATTCCTCTCCCAAGCTAATTTTCTTCAAAGAAAATGGGTACATCATGCTTAGGAAACATATGCCTTCTTGAGACTAACTTGCTTCTTGGCTTTGTTATTATACTCAGCTTATGTCTACCAGGATCCCTGAAATTTGCATTGGCCCTGGGGAATGAAACTGACAGAATAGCTTTGCTTTCTATAAAGGATCAGCTTGTTGGTGCTTATCCAGGAGCTCTCGATTCATGGAATGCTTCTCTCCACTTCTGTGAGTGGCAAAGTGTTACGTGTGGTCGTCGCCACCAGAGAGTCACTGCTCTGGACTTGGACGGCTTGAAACTAGGTGGGTCCTTATCTCCTTCGATTGGCAATTTAACCTTCCTCAGAAGAGTAAATCTGTCTGATAATAGATTGCAAGGTAACATACCTAAGGAAGTTGGCTACCTAGGGCGGTTGCGTGTTTTTGAGCTGTTTCGAAATAATCTCCATGGAAGAATCCCTGTGGAGCTTGCCAATTGCTCAAACCTCTTAACAATTCGTTTATCGCATAATAACCTCACTGGTGAACTTCCTTTCCAGTTGGGTGATTTGTCGAAACTCATCGTACTCTCCTTGGGTGACAACAATTTGGTTGGGGGTATTCCATCTTCTTTAGGAAACCTTTCGTCATTATCGAATCTCTCGCTTTCTTCTAATCATTTGGAGGGAAATATCCCTGATGCTCTGGGCGGGGCTGTAAACTTGAGAAAACTTCTTCTCGCAGGCAACAGCCTAACTGGTACTCTTCGTCTCTCAATTCACAATCTTTCTTCCTTGGAAATGATTGAGATGTCAATGAACAATTTCTCAGTGAGTCTTGAGGCTATAATAGGCCATCCTTTTCCAAATCTTCGATACTTCAGTATTGGAAGAAATCAATTAATAGGAACTATTCCAAGGTCGATATCTAATATGTCTAATCTGGAGATATTTGACATAGGTTGGAATGGTATCGACGGATCTGTTCCTAACAATTTGGGAAACCTCAAGAATCTTCAACAGTTCATGATTGCTGGTAACAACTTGGGAAATGGGAACATAGGAGACTTGGATTTTCTTTCTTCTTTGAGCAATTGTAGTCTATTACAAATATTGGATCTAGAGGTGAATCGATTAGGTGGCCCGTTGCCAGAATCCATAGGCAATTTATCAATCCAACTCAACATGCTTTTTATGGGATGGAATCAGATTTCAGGAAATATTCCTGAAGGGATTGGAAATCTCGTAAGCTTAACTCTTCTGCATTTGCCGAGAAATGCCTTGGTGGGGACCCTTCCAACTTCTATGGGGAAGCTTCGAAATCTTGAAAGATTGTTTCTCGGCTCGAATAATTTTTCAGGTGAAATCCCATCTTTCTTTGGCAATCTCTCTCATTTGTTCGAGCTTCAATTACATAATAATAGTTTTGAACAAAAAATTCCTCTTGCTCTTAGAAATTGCAAAAATATGCAAATCTTGCTTCTTTCGGAAAATACACTTAGTGGTAGTATACCAGATCAACTATTTGATGCTTTCACAAGTTTGATTATAGTTGACATGTCTAGCAACTTCTTGACCGGTCCTCTTTCATCAGATTTTAGTAATTTAAAGAACCTGGAAGAATTATTTGTTTATGAAAATAAATTATCTGGTGAAATTCCAAAGACATTTGGCCAGTGTTTTGGGTTAAGGTCACTTGATATGGCGGGAAACTTTTTCGAAGGTAACATTCCCTTATCTTTTGGTTTTTTGAAATCTCTTGAAACTTTAAATCTTTCCCGCAATAATTTGTTTGGCACCATACCACATGAACTAGAAAAACTTCCATATTTAAGCAATTTGAACATTTCTTTTAATCACTTGGAGGGTGAAGTTCCAAAAGAAGGAGTTTTCAATAAATCTAGTAGATTTTCAATTGTGGGAAATAAAAATCTCTGTGGAGGGATACCTGAAATAATGCTCCCAAAGTGCTTCGATCAGGAGTGTAAGAAAAAGGGAACTGCTCTATCGGACAAAGCCATCATTGTAATGATCCTTGGCATTCTAATTGCCTCTATTATGGTGGTGCTTCTTTTCGTTCATTGTTTCAGACAAAGGTCTGGAAAGAAGCTTATCCCTGCAGCTTTGTTTGGTGATAGCTACTTGCGGATATCCTACAAAGAGCTTCTGCAAGCAACTAGTGGTTTTGCATCTTCAAACTTGATTGGTGTGGGAAGTTTTGGCTCTGTGTACAAAGGATTTCTCCATCAACAAGAAAAACTTGTGGCAGTGAAGGTACTTAACCTTCAAAACCGTGGTGCTGCAAAGAGCTTCATGGCTGAATGCAGGGCTTTGGGGAAAGTTCGACATCGGAATCTTCTCAAAATTATAACTTCCTGCTCAAGCATTGATTACCAAGGCAATGATTTCAAGGCTTTAGTTTTCGAATTCATCCCTAATGGGAGTTTGGACAGTTGGCTTCATGACCAACATGAGTCAAGGTATTTGAACTTTGTTCAAAGGTTGGACATAGCCATAGATGTAGCCAATGCAATAGAGTACCTTCATCACAATTGCGAGGCGGTAATTGTCCACTGTGATCTAAAGCCTACCAATGTTCTTCTTGATGATGACATGGTTGCACATGTCAGTGATTTTGGATTGGCTAAGCTCCTGTCTAGTGACACAAACAATATGGGTAATGATCAAACAGGTTCTTCAATGATGAAAGGAACAATCGGTTATGTTCCCCCAGGTAAAATTTCATATCTCCTTTTGATTTTCAGTATCGTAATTGTAATTTAGCGAAATCTTACTTATTTTAAACTTTTTAATCTGTCCTTGCTATTATCATGTTAACAGCCATTAAACCTCCTATTTAATAACTTGCAAAATCACAAGAATAAGTTGCCAAATCTCAAGTCTCAACTATTAATTAGAGCCAAAAACATATGGTTGGCATTAAAAGAAATATTGAGTTTATAACAAATTGTTGCAGAATATGGCATGGGCGGGGCAGTGTCCCCAGAAGGTGATATTTACAGCTATGGGATTCTGCTCTTGGAAATGATCACCGGAAGGAGACCAACAGATGGTATGTTTCATGGCGGCTTAAGCCTTCACAATTTCTGTAAGATGGCACTACCTGAACGGTTGAAGGAGATTCTCGATTTTCGCTTGCTCGAACAAATTAGTGAAAACAAGGAGAGATTAACAAGTCAGTCAAAAATGGAGGGAGAGATCATGTTGGAGAGTTTGCTTTCTTTCACTAAAATAGGAGTTGCATGCTCTGCAGAGGCGCCTGGTGATAGAATGGCAATCAAAGATGCTATCACAGAACTGCATGCAACCAAGGCAAGTTTGCTTCGGAGCAGGATCCATGGAAGGGACAGGAAATAGGCAGCAGCCGCTGGTGAATCAGGATAAACATTTACTCAATGTTTTGTATCAATAATTGATATGTGAACTTTGCTTTGCTTGTCTTAAAATCGTTTAAACTAGGATTGTCTGCTACTCTGCTGAGATTTCAAAAGCCTTGGCTTTGGAAAGTGAAATTTATATTTATATTTGTCTGCTTTTATCCTTTTCTGAATCCTGAAGTCAATATTTTCTATTGGCTTAATTACAGAATGAAAGCGAATCGATTCCAAGCTTTGTCAAATAGGAAGAATCGACGCTGAGTAAAGTAGTAATGAATGAGCTTAAGGGAAATTTATATAATGATATTGGCTTCAATTTGCCCAACCTGCAACAATTTCCTTTGTGAGACAACAATCAACAGAATCCATTCCTATATCATCACCAAAATAGTTCACAGCTACAAAATGTGTTAGAAGAACTGCAGAGAACAGTGAACATATCACGCTTGATCCTTACTTTAGCATAACATGTTAGGAAGTAGCTATATTAATGGTCCGAATTTCAAATCTTAAACAACACTGTCTGTGGGTAGAACCTCATTTTATAGACAATCCTCAGTAAGTACAACAAATATGGAGAAACAGTTGACTTTTTGTAAGATAGCAGCATAGAGGCAGGGAGGTAATGTTCTGGGAAAGAGAGCTGAGTCCTGAAAAGATGTTTAAAATTTAACTTAATGGTCGTAACTCCATTTTAACAGAAAAGGTATTTGAACACGAGTCAAGGTATTTTAACAGCAGCTGGTGAATCCGAATCCAACTTTTACTCAATGTTTTGCTTGTTTTAAAATTGTTTAAACTAGGATTGTCTGCAGGTATTTATATTTCTGAAAAATCTTGTATTCAATCTGTATTTTCTTTCTTCCTTGATAGATCAAAGATATGTATAAAACTTTGAAATCCTGTTTAATGCCTTGAAAATTTCTTAAACAGTAAATTAAATTGGTAAGAGAGAACTAGCAGTAGTTATACTAGAACAATAATACTGGTATACCTAGTCTAATGCTTGCCACAACTGGTCTTGATATTTTGGCCAACTTGGAAAAATCAAGCAAGCAAGATTCTCCCCTTCTGCTTAAGTCCGTTCAAATTAATGGTCCCAACATTTGATCATTTCCTTGCTCTCTTTCCAGGAAAGCATTGCTACGACATCCACTTGCCAAAGCGGCCCTGCTTTCCATATTGTTCTATAGCTCAACTTGATTAAAAAAAAAGAAGAAGAAAACTGAGACTCCCTTGACAAACTCTGCATAAAGTTATTATTACATCAAATTAGTATATATCTTACCGGCTTGATTAATGTAACTTTTCTCTTTGCTGATTTACTTTGGGAAATTAGATAAGACTCTGGAGAAATTTCCCTGCTGGCTTTGATTGGTTAAGTATAATCTATACATTTTCGTAATTAAATTATTATATTTTTATGGTTTTCAATTAACTTCTTTTTTATTTGTGTTAAGTTGTGCATCTATTTTTTTTATTTTACCTAATCGAACTCTTATCTTGTCCAGAAAAACTGTTTCTTAATCATTTTCTAGTTATTTCAAAGGTGACATGAAGGCAGAAGACTGCCAAGGAAAGGAGTTCAGAGTTCAGACTGACATTAAAATTTATCTGCCAATCTTGCAATCATCAATCTTCAAAGTGGGTTTCAAGTAAATACTTTGTATAAATCTTATATTCATATATTTGCAGTTTCTAATAAAGGGGGGTTTTTTTTTCCGATAATTCAATTATATTTGAGATGGTTAAAGGTCCTGGATTCCACATTCTACAATTATATTACATGAATTTAGTATATATCTTACCGGCTTGATTAAAGTAGCTTTTCTCTTTGTCGATTTTCTTAAAAAAATTAGAAAAGATTATGGAGAAATTTCCTAGCTGGCATGATTGATTAAGCATAATTTATACAAATTGATGATATGATAACTCTTGGACTTAAATAACAAAAAAAAATTGAACTATATGTATTTTCGTAATTGAATTCTTATATTTTATTGTACGCAATTAATTTTTTTTATTTGTATCCAATTTAGCATTTGTTCTTTATTTTATCTAATTGAGCTCTTATCTCGTAGAGGAAAATATAATAAAGGTTATTCTCAATAACTATCCCTTGTTGTATAAGTGAAATTTGATGAGAAATATTGATTAAATACAACAAGAATTGATGATGTGGTATGTCATATCACAAGAAATTTTACACTATTAATTCTTGTTGTGTTTAGTCAACACATTACACTAAAATTTCACATATAGGTGAAGCTATCATTGCACATAACATCCATTACATTTTTGTTAAGAGATAAGAACTTAATTGGGTTAAATAAAAAAATAGAGATTGATTAATTAGACACAAATAATACAAATAAAACAAAAAATTTAATTGAGTATGATAAAAATATAAAAACTTAATTGTAAAAAAGACATATAGTTTGAGATTTTTTATTATTTTAATGCAACTCTTATATCATAGATTCAAAAGTTATGAAAATTTAACTTAATAGTAATAATTTAGTGCTATAAAACTTTAGTATGGGCAATGTAGTTGACCTTTCATCATGGAAGTCTTTACCCGGTAAGCTCTTGAGCCAACTGCAGACTAGCTATGGAAAGTGATCAATGTTAAACTACTCGTACTAAATGCATTCAAGATTCATGTAATTGTAAAATTTTATCAATTCTTGGTAGTGTAGTTCCTGTTCTTGGTCCAAAAGAGAAGACGAGGTTCAGTTTCTCACCTATGGGGGAATTTTTTCCTCGTAGCGAAGAACCGCCCCTTTTGGGTGGAAGACTTTGACAGTCAATTTAATTTCTTGTCAACGTTCTAATCGGACATGGACCCTGATTTTCCATGTCCGTTTACTTATACGTACAGCTCTCATGGATGAAATTTCCAACTGGGGCAAACTAGTAGTCTTCAGCTATAATTATTAGGCCTATAGCCAACCAATTGGGTGGACATGGACGCTTAAAACTGCTTGTTTTCCAAGTCAATTCCTCTCTCATGGATGAAATTTCCAGCTAGGGCAAACAAGCAGTCTTCCAATATAATGATTAGGCCCATCGTCAACCAATTTGGGAGGACATGGATGGTTAAACTTGCGTGTTGCCCAATTCAATTCCGCTCTCATGGAAGAAATTTCCAGCTGGGGCAAACAAGTAGTCTTAAAAATTAAATTTTCTGCAAAATCTTGTTTTCAATTTGTATTTTCTGGCTCCCTTGATAGATCAAAGATATGTGTAAAACTCTGAAGTCTTGTTTAACACCTCGAAAATTTCTTAAAGCGTAAAATTAAATTGGTAAACAAGAACCAGCAGTAGTTATACTAAAACAATGACTCTGGATAACGTTTGTATCAATAATGGATATTAATTTGAACTTTGTTTTGCTTGTTTTAGAATTGTTTAAACTCGGATTGTCTGCTGTGATTTCAGAAGACTTGGCTTTGGGAAGTGAAATTTATATTTGTGCTGCGAAACTTATATTTAAATTTGTCTACTTTTATCCTTTTTTGATTCCGGAAGTCAATATTTTCCATTGGCTTAATCATAGAATGAGAGTGAATCGATTCCAAGCTTTGTCCAATATGAAGAATCGAAGCTTAGTAAAGTAGTAATGAATGAGTTGAGGGAAATTGGTATAATGATATCAGCTTCGATTTGTCCAACCTGCAACAATTTGCTTTGGAGATAACAATCAACAGAATCTATTCCTATGTCATCACCAAAATACTTGACAGCTACAGAATGTGTTAGAAGAACCAGAGAGAACAGTGAACCTATCGTGCTTGATCCTTGCTTTAGTGCAACATGTTAGGAATTAGCTATAATAATGGTCCGAATTTCAAATCTTAAACAACACACACATCAGCAGACACTGTCTGTGGGTACAACCTCGTTTTATAGACAATCCTCAGTAAGTAAAGGAAATAATTTCTTCTGCAAACATGGAGAAACAGTGAACTTAGCAACATAGAGGCAAGGAAGTAATGTTCCAGGAAAGAGGTTTAAAATTAACTTAGTGGTCGTAACTCCATCTTAACAGTAAAGGTATTTTAACAGTAGCTGATGAATCAGAATTGAATTTTTACTCAATGTTTAGCATGTCTTAAAATCGTTTAAACTAGGATTGTCTGAAGAAACTTATATTTCTGCAAAATCTTATAATCAATCTGCATTTTCTTTCTTCCTTGATGGATCAAAGATATGTACAAAACTTTGAAATCTTGCTTAAGGCCTTGAAAATTTCTTAAAGAGTACAAGTAAAATGGTAAAAAAGAACTAGCAGTAGTTATACTAAAACATTTTCCATTTTAGCATTTCATAAGAAATAAAGAACTTAGAAATTTGAAACATTTTTATTAGGATTGGAGGGAGATTGAACCCTTTTTATTTTTTATTTTTTTGAGAGTAAAATTCATTTTCAAAAAAAAAGAAAGAAAGAAAAAGAAATTACATACTGTCATTAGGAAGATCAGACCGGCGCAAATGCATGCAATTCAAAGTCTTTGGACAAGGGTAATACTAGTATGTGAAAATTTGAACTTATTCAATTCAGGATCCCAATTTTCTCATAATTCAATTATATTTGAGATGATCAAAAGTCCTGGATTCAGCAAATTTATATTACATCAATTAGTCTGTTTCTTAATTACCGGCTTGATTAAAGTAACTTTTTCTCTTTGTTAATTGACTTTGGAAAATTATAGATAGGATTGTGGAGAAATTTCCCCGCTAGCTTTGATTTATTACTATAATTTGTAATTAAATTCTTATATTTTTATGGTTTTCAATTAAATTCTTTTTTATTTGTGTTAAGTTGAGCATCTATTCTTTTATTTTACCTAATTGAACTTTTATCCTTGTAAAGAAAATATAACAAATGTTATTTCCAACAACTACCTTATGTATACATGAAATTTGACAAGACGTGCATGTATATGTGAAGCTATTACTGCATAAAAGATTCATTACACTTCAATTACTAAATAAGTATTTAATTAGATAAAATTAAAGAATCGAGATTGACCAATTGAATTGTAAATAAATAAAAAATTAATTAAGTACCATAAATATAAAATTTTGTTGAATTTTTAAGGTTTTTATATTTCTTCTTCAATTACAGTTATTTTGTCAAAAGCCAGACCACGTGCATGTCACTGGCTTCCCACTAAGTGTACCGGAAGGGAGAAAAGGTACGAAACATGGCCCATCTCTACCACTACTGCTTGTCCTATTATTTTCTCTTTCCTGTAGAAAACTATTGTGACCTCCATTATTAATATACAGAAGTTTATTGCCCCACTTGTTCTGCATTTTTTATGCTCGATTTCGTCTGAAAGTATTGAGTTTTATTTTGGAATATTTCAACAAAATTTAATTATAGAAAAGCATATAATTCAGAAACCGTTTTATTAATTTAGCAAATCTCTTATAGTAACATTTATGCATCAGAAGCTATGAAAATTTAATTTAATAGTAATAATTTAGTGCTATAAAACTTGCAATGTAGTTACCCTTTTAGTCATGGAAGTCTTCTCCCCGTAGCTGGAGCCAGCATGTCCTTCAACCAAAGACAAGTTTTTCTGGATGACCGTCTCAGACGGGATCTCTTAAGTCAACTGTTGAATTAGTCATCCTAAAAGCGGTCTAGATTCATGTAATTATAAAATTTCATCAATTCTTGGAAGTGTTGTTCCTTATTCTTGGTCTGAAAAGTGAAAAGCAAAAGAGAAGACAAATTTCAGTTTCGTAGTGTTTTTTTTTTTTTTTGTAGCGACGACCTGTCCTTTTTGGGAGCAGACTTACACAGTCAATGTTATTCTTTCCAACGTTCTGATCTTCCATGTGGACCTCTCATGGATGGAAGTTTCTGCAGGGGAAAACGAGTAGTCTTCGGCTATAATGGTTAGGCCTATAGCCAACCAATTCTAAAGCCTTTTTTGGCAGGTGGTAAGAGAATTGCGAGGACATGGACAATTAAATCTGCTTGTTGCTCAATTCAATTCATCTCCCCAGCTAATTAATTTTCTCCTAAGAAAATGGATAAATCATGCTTAGGAAACATATGCATCCTCGAGATTAACTTGCTTGTTGGCTTTGTTATTATACTCAGCCTATTGGTACCAGGATCCCTGAAATTTGCATCGGCCTTGGGGAACGAAACTGACAGAATAGCTTTGCTTTCTATAAAGAATCAGCTTGTTGGTGCTTATCCAGGAGCCCTCGATTCATGGAATGATTCTCTCCACTTTTGTGAGTGGCAAGGTGTTACATGTGGTCGTCGCCACCAGAGGGTCACTGCTCTGGAGTTGTCTGGTTTGAAACTAGCTGGGTCCTTGTCTCCTTCAATTGGCAATTTAACCTTCCTCAGAAGACTTAATCTATCTGATAATAGATTGCAAGGTAAAATACCCAAGGAAGTTGGCTACCTAAGGCGACTACGTGTCTTTGAGTTGTTTCGAAATAGTCTCCATGGAAGAATACCTGTAGAGCTTGCCAATTGCTCAAACCTTCTAACAATTCATTTAAAGCAAAATAACCTCACTGGCGAAATTCCTTTCCAGTTGGGTGATTTTTCAAAACTCATCGAACTCTCCTTGGCTGCTAACAATTTAGTTGGGGGTATTCCATCTTCTTTAGGAAACCTTTCGTCATTGCGGGTTCTCTCGCTTGCTTACAATCATTTGGAAGGAAAGATCCCTGATGCTCTAGGCGGGGCCTCAAACTTGAGAAACCTTTATCTCGGTTCCAACAACCTGGTTGGTACTTTTCCTCTCTCAATTCACAATCTTTCTTTCTTGGAAGAGATTATGATGACTGCAAATAATTTCTCAGGGAGTCTTACAGCTGTAATTGGCATTCCTTTTCCAAATCTTCGATCCTTGGGTATTGGAGGAAATCAATTAATTGGTACTATTCCAATGTCAATATCTAATATGTCTAATCTGGAGAACTTTGACATTGGTACGAATGGTCTCAGCGGATCTATTCCTAACGATTTGGAAAACTCAAGAATCTTCAACAGTTCAGGATTGGCCACAATTACTTTGGAAATGGGAAGACTGGAGACCTTGATTTTCTTTCTTCTTTAAGCAATTGTAGCCTATTACATTTATTGGATGCAGAGGTGAATCGATTAGGTGGCCTGTTGCCAGAATCCATAGGAAATTTATCAATCCAACTCAACATGCTTTTTATGGGATTTAATCAGATCTCAGGAAATATTCTTGAAGGGATTGGCAATCTTGTGAGCCATTAAATCTCCTATTAAGTCAAATAAGTTTTTATAATTAATAATTGACTATCTGTTTGGCTTAGCTTTTTTTTTAGAATAAAAGTTTTTAATTTTTTTTTAAATTTTTGTTTGGCTTGGCTTTTGCTTTTAAGATATAGATAAGCTGAAAAAAAGCCAGACCAAACAAGCATCAAAATACCCATTGTCATTTTGTGCCGTATGATGCTAACGTTAAATGCTAATATATTATAATTGATCATAATATGATATGTTGATATATTATAATTGATGATGATGTGATATGTTAATTTAATATAATAACATAACTATGTGATTTTTTTCACCATGCACGTTAATGTCATGTTAGTTTTATATAGATATAAAATGATAAGTAACATTTTAACTAATATTAATATGTCAATCATTAAACCTAAGGGCTTATTAGATCTAAAATAAAAGTACCAGAGTTTAATTGAGGACAATAAAAAAAATAAATGTTTATTTATATTTTTAAAAATATTTTAAAAACTCTTTGGAACATTATGCCTTTAACTCAATAGTAATAATTAGTACCATAAAACTTTAGTATGGGCAACTTAGTTTCCCTTTTCGTCGTCATGGAAGCCTTCTCCCGTGAAACCCAATCCTTCATTGTGTGATATTGTTTAATCTTAAATATGATATTGAGTGAGTTGAATGAATCATGTGAATAAATTATGTACTAAGATAATTTTGAATGTTGGATGAGTTTTTCTCAACATTATTGACATAAATATCTCTCTATAATGTTGTAATCAAGACTTGAAAATTTCAATTTATTCACATAACTTCACCATCCTAATTTTCTGATAATTCAAGTATTTATGAGATGGTCAAGGGTCCTGGATTCAGCAATTATATTACATCAAATTGTTGTAGATCTGAACTAATCTTAACTAAAAATTTCTGTGGCTAGTTGCTTTCACGAGCAATCCCCATTGTCAAAGGCGGGCACGAGTTTGAGCGGAGAGTTGGTAACGTACAGTGAGAAAAGGCCCCTTCTTTATTATGACTTTTATGAGACTTCTCCAATGGCGGTTGGTCTGGGTCTTGGATCAATGAAATGTTAATTCTCGTTAAATTTTCTATCAACTTTGGTAATAAGAAAAATGATTAAGCAATTGAATCGGTGGTTCCCGATTGAAGCAAGCTGGGATTAAGCTGGCTTTTCTCTTTCGGCTTTGTTGAAGTAACTTTTTTCTTTGTCGATTTACTTTGGAAAATTATCAAAGACTATGGGCAAATTTTCCTGCTGGCTTGATTGATTAAGTATAATCTATACAAATGGATAATATAATAACTGTTGGACTTAAATAATAAAAAAAAAAAACTTTGAAGTGTATGAATTTTCGTAATTAAATTTTTATATTTTTATTGTACTCAATTATTTTTTTTGTGTCTAATTAAACATCTGTTCTATAAAATAATATATTATTTTACCTAATCGAGCTCTTATCTCTTAAAAGAAAATATAATAATATTCCCAACAACTGTCACCTGTTGTATTTATGAAATTTGAAGAGATGCACGTATTGATTAAATGCAACAGAATCGATGATGTGGTATATCACGTCAGAAGAAATTCTACATCATTAATTCTTGTTGTGTTTAGTCCGTGCATGACATGTCAAATTGCATGTATAAGTGAAGCTATCGTTGTGTATAACATCCATTACATTTTTGTTAAGGGATAAGGACTTAATTGGGTAAATTAAAAAAATAGAGATTGGTTAATTGGATACAAATAATACAAATTAAAAAAAGAACCTAATTGAGTACAATAAAAATATAAGAACTTAATAGCAAAAAAAGGCGTATAGTTTGGAATTTTTTTATTGTTTTGATGCAACTCTTATATCATAGATTGAGAAGCTATGAAAATTTAATTTAATAGTAATAATTTAGTACTATAAAACTATAGTATGCGCAATGTAGTTTCCCTTTTCGTCATGGAAGTCATCACCCAGTAAGCTCTTGAGCCTACTGCGGACTAGCTATGGAAAGTGATCAATGTTAAACTACTCGTACTAAATGCATTCATGATTCATGTAATTATAAAATTTTATTAATTCTTGGTAGTGTAGTTCCTGTTCTTGGTCCAAAAGAGAAGACGAAGTTCTGTTTCTAATCTATGGGGGACTGTGTTCTGGTAGCGAAGAACCGTCCTTTTTGGGTGGAAGACTTTGACAGTCAATTTGATTTCTTGTCAACGTTCTGATTGGATATTGACGCTGATTTTCCATGTCCGTTTACTTATATGTACAGCTCTCATGGATGAAATTTCCAGGCGGGCCAAACGAGTAGTCTTCAGCTATGATGATTAGGCCTATAGCTAAGCAATTTGGCAGGACATGAACGGTTAAACCTATTTGTTGCCCAATTCAATTCCTCTCCCCAACTAATTTTCTTCAAAGAAGATGGTTAACTTGCTTGTTTCCATTGTTATTATACTCAGCTTATTGGTAGCAGGATCCCTAAAATTTGCATTCGCCTTGGGCAACGAAACTGACAGAATATCTTTGCTTTCTATAAAGGATCAACTTGTTGGTGCAGGAGCTCTCGATTCATGGAATGCTTCTCTCCACTTCTGTGAGTGGAAAGGTGTTACATGTGGTCGTCGCCACCAGAGGGTCACTGCTTTGGACTTGGATTGTTTGAAATTAGCTGGATCCTTGTCTCCTTCGATTGGCAATTTAACCTTCCTCAGAGAACTTAATCTCTCTGACAATAGCTTGAGAGGTAACATACCCAAGGAAGTTGGCTACCTAAGGCGGTTGCGTGTTCTTCATCTGTTTCAAAACAATCTCCATGGAAAAGTCCCTGTAGAGCTTGCCAATTGCTCAAAACTCCAAGCGATTGCTTTATTGCATAATAACCTCACTGGTGAAGTTCCTTTCCAGTTGGGTGATTTGCCGAATCTTATCATACTGTCCTTGGGTGCCAACAATTTAGTTGGGGGTATTCCATCTTCTTTAGGCAACTTGACGTCATTGTGGAAGCTCTCGCTTTCTTATAATCATTTGGAGGGAAATATCCCTGATGCTCTGGGCAGGGCCTTAAACTTGAGAATTCTTTTTCTCGGTGCCAACAACCTGGCTGGTACTCTTCCTCTCTCATTTCACAATCTTTCTTCCTTGGAAATGATTAACTTGGGTATGAACAATTTCTCAAGAAGTCTTGCAGCTGCATTAGGCATTCTTTCTCCAAATCTTCGATACTTTGCTATTGGAGGAAACCATCTATTTGGAACTATTCCAATGTCAATATCTAATATGTCTAATCTGGAGATGTTTGACATCTCTATGAATGGTATTAGTGGATCTGTTCCTAACGATTTGGGAAACCTCAAGAATCTTCAAGAATTCAAGATTGGCGGCAACTACTTTGGAAATGGGAAAACAGGAGACCTGGATTTTCTTTCTTCTTTAAGCAATTGTAGCCTATTGCAAATGTTGGAACTAGAGGTGAATCGATTAGGTGGCCTGTTGCCAGAATCCATAGGCAATTTATCAATCCAACTCAATAGGCTTTACATCGGATGGAATAAGATCTCGGGAAATGTTCCTGAAGGGATTGGCAATCTTGTCAGCCTAACTGTTCTAGATATGAGGAGAAATGCTCTCGAGGGCTGCCTTCCAACTTCTATTGGGAAGCTTCAAAATCTTGCAAGATTGTTTCTTAGTTGGAATAACTTCTCAGGTGAAATCCCATCCTTCATTGGCAACCTCTCTCGATTGTTTGATCTTTATTTAGATATTAATAATTTTAAAGGAAAAATTCCACTTGCCCTTAGAAATTGCAAAAATATGCAAAACTTGTTTCTTTCCGAAAATAAATTTAGCGGTCATATACCAGATCAATTATTTGGTGCTTTTAAAAGTTTAATTCTAGTTAACATATCTTACAACTTGTTGACGGGTCCCCTTCCATCAGATTTTGGTAATCTAAAGTACCTGGTAGGATTATTTGTTTATGAAAATAAATTATCGGGTGAAATTCCGAAAACACTTGGTGAGTGTTCTGGATTAACGTCACTTGATATGGCTAGAAACTTTTTCCAAGGCAGCATTCCATTGTCTTTAGGCTCTTTGAAATCTTTGGAAACTTTAAATCTTTCTTGCAATAACTTGTCTGGCACCATACCACATGAACTTGAAAAACTTCCATTTTTAAGCAGTTTAAACCTTTCCTTTAATCACTTGGAGGGTGAAGTTCCGAAAAAAGGGGTTTTCAATAAATCTAGTGGATTTTTAGTTGTGGGAAACGAAAATCTCTGTGGAGGGATACCTGAAATAAAACTCCCAAACTGCTTTAATCAGGAGCCAAGGAAAAAGGGGACTGCTTTGTCAGTCAAAACCATCATTGTTATGATCCTTGGCATTCTAATTGCCTCTATTTTGGTCGTGCTTCTTTTCGTTCATTGCTGCAAACATAGGTCTGGAAAGAAGCTTATCCCTGTTGCTTTGTTTGGTGATGGCTACCTGCGGGTATCCTACAAAGAGCTTCTACTAGCAACTGGTGGTTTTGCATCTTCCAACTTGATTGGTGTGGGAAGTTTTGGCTCTGTGTATAAAGGAGTTCTTCATCAGCAAGAAAAACCTGTGGCAGTGAAGGTACTAAACCTTCAAAATCGTGGCGCTGCAAAGAGCTTCATGGCTGAATGCAAGGCTTTGAGGAAAGTTCGACATCGGAATCTTCTCAAAATTATGACTTCCTGCTCAAGCATTGATTACCAAGGCAATGATTTCAAGGCTTTAGTTTTCGAATTCATCCCTAATGGTAGTTTGGACAGTTGGCTTCATGAGCAACATGAGTCAAGGTATTTGAACTTTGTTCAAAGGTTAGACATAGCCGTAGATGTAGCCAATGCAATAGATTACCTTCATCACAATTGCGAGGCGGTAATTGTCCATTGTGATCTAAAGCCTTCCAATGTTCTTCTTGATGATGACATGGTTGCACATGTCACTGATTTTGGATTGGCTAAGCTCTTGTCTAGCGACACAGACACAATGGGTAATGATCAAACAGGCTCCTCAATGATGAAAGGAACAATTGGTTATGTTCCCCCAGGTAAAATTTTATGTATCTTCTGTTGTCTTTGAATATCATAATCATAGTATCATAATTGCAATCTAACGAAATTTTGCTGATTTAACTTATAATCTGTACAATTGTTGTTATCAGTCTTACTTTGATCTAAAAACAGATGGTTGTTGTTAAAAGAAGTCTTGAGTGTATAACAAATTGTTGCAGAATATGGCATGAGAGGGGCAGTGTCTCCAGAAGGTGATATATATAGCTATGGGATTCTGCTATTGGAGATGATCACTGGAAGGAGACCAACGGATGGTATGTTTCATGGTGACTTAAGCCTTCACAATTTCTGTAAGGTAGCACTGCCTGAAAGGTTGAAGGAGATTCTCGATTTTCGCCTGCTCAAACAAATTAGTGAAAACAACGAGAGATCAAGAAGTCGGCTGAACATGGAAGGAGAGATGTTGGAGAGTTTGGTTTCTTTTGCCAAAATAGGAGTTGCATGCTCTGCAGAAGTACCTGGTGAAAGAATGGGAATCAAAGATGCTATTACAGAACTACTTGCAACCAAGGCAAGGTTGCTTCATACTGGGATCCATCGAAGGGACAAGATATAGGCAGCAGCAGCTGGTGAACCAGATTCAAACTTTTACTTGATGTTTCATATCAATAATTGATATTTGAACTTTGTTTTGCATGTTTTAAATCGTTTAAACTAGGATTGTCTGTAGAAATTTATATTTCTGGTGTGATCGGTTTTGCCTTTTGACTTCTCCTCAAGCCCTTTGGTCTCTTCCTTTAACTCCTTTCCATCATTTGTAATGGATAGGAAATAAAAGTAACCTAAAACTTTGATTTGGAATTGAAAGTAGTAAGAAGTATGCAATTTCCTTTTTGTTTTTTAAGAATTCTCCTTCTATCCTTTTTCAATTCCCATAGCTGAAGAAATTTATGATATTGGCTTCAATTTGCTCAACACATCAATCAACAGGATCCATTCTATTTAATCACTCAAAATACTTCACAGTCACAGAGTGTGTTAGAAGGACTAGAGAGAACAGTGAAACGATCGCGCTTGATGCTTACTTCAGTGCGACATGCGAAGAATTAGCTACACTAATTGTCTGAATTTAATATCTTAAACAAGACACACATCAACACACACTGTTTGTGGGTAGAACCTTATTTTATAGACAATCCTTGGTGCGAACAGAAATAATTTCTTCTACAAACTTGGAAAAGCAGTCAACTTGACCTTTTTGAATATAGTAGCATAGGCTAGGAAGCAATGTTTCGAGAAAGAGAGCTGAGGCCTGAAAAGATCATTAAAATTAACTTAATGGCCATCGATTTTGAGTTGCTTCAGATTGGAATCTTCAGTCTCCTCCTCTGCTCAACCTCCGATTTTGCTTAGGAGGCGGCTATTGTTTTCTTTTAGATGATGACTTTGGGCTTTGGGATTGAGATGTCCTGTTGTGTGATTTGGTTTATGCTTACCTTCTGCTTTTCGTTTAAAGGTAGAGAGCTTCCTCTGTTTTTGATTAGCTCGGATAGGTTTAGATTTGAAGGAACTGCTTCACCTCTGAAGCAACCTCAAAGTGCAATTGTACAGTGTCAATCTTCATGCTTAAGGTGGAATTTTAAGCCATCAGAAGTCTATGCCAGAGACGTTCAATGGCTTGTCAGCTTAATGACAATAAATACACCTTTCCAAAAACAATTAAGTTAATGGTCTTAACTCGACATCAACAGTATACATTTTCTCCGCAACCACAATCAAGACATCCTGCAGACAGTAAATGTTTGAGACATGCAATCAAACTGATCTCACTTTTGGCTTGTGCTCCTAAACAATATTTGGAAAAGCTTCATTAGCAAAAACTCTTCCCTCCCTCAATAATCACAGTCGCTGGAGATGCCCTCGTATGCCATTTTTCTCAAGAGAAATAATGAAAAAAATCTGCTGACAATCCTGAATTAAAGTCGAATGCCTGCCCTGTACTAGACAGCGATAAACAAGGAAGTCTCGCTCGTTAGTCATCAATTCATCGTACAAATATTACATCAACTACCAGCAAACTCTGTTTAGCTGGCTTACTACTTGATCCTCTGATGCAGGAAAATTTTCTCGTTAAGGAAACTCCTTCAGCAGCTCTAAGCTACAAAATTTCATAAGGTAACATCCTAGAGCTAACGTTTACGCCTCCGATACCAACTTAATTGGAACATACAGAGAAGAAATTGACTTATCAGATATTTCTTTGGTTTTTCTATATTCAGATATTTATTTAATTTTGTTAAATGAATTGGCTTATCAAAATATTCTGTAGAATCATAGTCTTGGAAGGGGAGATATGGGAGTGCTTGGTCTCTTTCACTAACAATTGGAGCTGCATGCTCTGCAGAAGCACCTGGTGAAAGAATGGGAAGCAAAGATGCTATCACAGAACTACTTCCAACCAAGGCAAGGTTGCTTCGGACTGGGATCCATAGAAAGGACAGGAGATAGGTAGCAGCTGTTGGTGAATCAGAATGAAACTTTGACTTGATGTTTCGTATCAATAATTGATATTTGAACTTTGTTTTGCATGTTTTAAAATCATTTAAAGTAGGATTGTCTGCAGAAATTTATATTTCTGGTGTGATTGGTTTTGCTTTTTAACTTCTCCTTAAGCCAGTGAATTGGCTTATCAAAATATTCTGTAGAATCATAGTCTTGGAAGGGGAGATATGAGAGTGCTTGGTCTCTTTCACTACAAGTCGGAGTTGCATGCTCTGCTGAAGCACCTGGTGAAAGAAAAGGAATCAAAGATGATACGATCACACAACTGCATGCAACTAAGGCAAGGTTGCGTCGGATATGGCGGGGACAGAAGATAGGCAGGAGCAGCAGGCCTATGTTGGTATGTATTCAGATCATGTAGACAAGGATTGTTTCCAGAAATTTCAAAAGATCTGGCTTCGGAAATTGAAACAGATACATTTCTGACTATTGGTGATTGGTTTTCCTTCATCTTCTCCTCAAGAGTCGAGAGACCTTTAAAATCATCTGCCAAATATGCAATCATCAACTAGAGTTAGTTTTGAAAATTTCAATCGATTCACTTCACTCCACCGTCCCAATTTTCAGATAATTCAATTATATTTGAGATGGTCAAAGGTCCTGCATTCAGCAATTATATTACATCAAATTAGTATAAATCTTAACTAAAAATTTCTGTAGCTAGTTGCTTTCACAAGCAATCCCCATTGTCAAACGCGGACACTAGTTCGAGCAGAGGGTTGGTAAAGTATAGTGACAAAAGACCCCTTCTGTATTATTGACTTTTGTGAGACTTCTCCAATGGCGGTTGGTCTGGGTCTTGGATCAATGAAAAGTTGATTCGATCTGGTTAAATTTTCTATCAGCTTTGGTAATAAAAAAATGATTAAGCAATTGCATGGGTGGTTCCTGATTGAAGCAAGTGGGTATTAAGCTGGCTTTTCTCTCTTTTCTATCTATTCTCTTTCGGCTTTATTAAAGTAACTTTTCTCTTTGTCGATTTGCTTGGGAAAATTAGATAGGAGTGGGGAGAAATTTCCCTGCTAGCTTGATTGATTAAGTATAGGCTATACAATTGAAAATTTGAACAACTTAAATTTCTACAATGTGGATTCCACCTAAAGTTCGAGATAACTCTTAGGTTTAAATAGTTAAAAAGTTTATAAATTATATAAATTTTTTAATTGAGTCTTAATATTTTTATCATATCCAATTAAGTCTTTTGTTTTATTTGCATCTAAATGAACTCTTATTCTTTTATTCTATTTAATTGAATTTTCATTTTTTGTATACTAAAAATATGACGGGACGTATTAATTAGACACAATAAAAGTTTATGATATGACACGTCATATCGATGGAAGCTTATCATCATTAATCCTTGTGTCTTGACATGTATCATCAACAAAAATTCCATTTCATCAATCTTTCTTGCATCCGGTCAATACACTCTCATTAAATTTCATGTATATAGCAAATGACACTAGATATAATATTCGTTACCTTTCCGTTACAAGAGAAGAGTACAATTGAAAAAAAAAAAAAGTTTCAATTGAATATAAAAAATGAAAAAAAACTTAATTAAATATGATCAAAATATAAAAATGCATATTATAATTAAAGAATTGTTTTTATTATTTAGGGGTAAGTCTTATAGCATCATTCATAGCTTAGAAGCTGTCACAATTTAATTTAATGGTGATAATTAGTACCATAAAATTTAATAGTTTCCCATTTCGTCATGGAAGTCTTCTCCCTACAGCTAGAGCCAACAAGTCCTCGAGCCGAGGACAAGTTTTTCTAGACTAGGTATGAAAGTGATAAATGTTAGACTACTGGTGCTAAAAGCAGTCAAGATTCATGTAATTATAAAATCTGCTTGTTGCTCAATTCAATTCCTCTCCCCAGCTAATTTTCTTCAAAGAAAATGGGAAAATCATGCTTAGGAAACATATGCATCCTTGACATTAACTTGTTTGTTTGCTTTGTTATTGTACTTAGCTTATTCCTACCAGGATCCCTGAAATTTACATTGGCCTTGGGGAACGAAACTGACAGAATCGCTTTGCTTTCAATAAAGGATCAGCTTGTTGGTGCTTATCCAGGAGCTCTCGTTTCATGGAATGCTTCTCTCCACTTCTGTGAGTGGCAAGGTGTTACATGTGGTCGTCGCCACCAGAGGGTCACTGCTCTGGAGTTGCCTGGTTTGAAACTAACTGGGTCCTTATCTCCTTCGATTGGCAACTTAACCTTCCTCAGAAGACTTAATCTGTCTGATAATAGATTGCATGGTAACATACCCAAGGAAGTTGGCTACCTAAGGCGGTTGCGTGTTCTTCATCTGTTTCAAAATAATCTCCATGGAAAGATCCCTGTCGAGCTTGCCAATTGCTCAAAACTCCAAGGGATTGCTTTGTTGCGTAATAACCTCACTGGTGAAGTTCCTTTCCAACTGGGTGATTTGCCGAAACTCCGCGTACTCTCCTTGGGTGTCAACAATTTGGTTGGGGGCATTCCATCTTCGTTAGGAAATCTTTCATCATTGTGGCAACTGTCGATTTCTTATAATCATTTGGAGGGAAATATCCCTGATGCTCTGGGCAGCGCCATAAAATTGAGAATTCTTTTTCTCAGTGCCAACAACCTGACCGGTACTCTTCCTCTCTCAATTCACAATCTTTCTTCCTTGGAAATGATTGACTTGTCTATGAACAATTTCTCAGGGAGTCTTGCAGATATAATAGGTGTTTCTTTTCCAAATCTTCGAGTCTTTACTATTGGATTTAATCAATTAATTGGAACTCTTCCAAGGTCAATATCTAATATGTCTAATCTAGAGACATTGGACATTATTTTCAATAGTTTCAGCGGATCTGTTCCTAAAGATTTGGGAAACCTCAAGAAACTTGAATGGCTCAATATAGGCGACAACAACTTTGGAAATGGGAAGACAAGAGACTTGGATTTTCTTTCTTCTTTGAGCAATTGTAGCCTATTACAAGTTTTGAATATGGAGAATAATCGATTTGGTGGCCTATTGCCACAGTCCATAGGCAATTTATCAATCCAGCTCAGCATGCTTTATATGGGATGGAACTCGATCTATGGAAATATTCCGGATGAAATTGGTAATCTTGTGGGCCTAAATCTTCTAGATATGACGAGATCTGCCTTGACGGGTACCCTTCCAATTTCTATTGGGAAACTTCAAAATCTTCAAAGATTGGTTCTCAGTTCGAATAACTTTTTTGGTGAAATCCCATCTTTTATTGGCAACCTTTCTCGTTTGTTGGATCTTTTTTTATATAATAACAATTTTGAAGGAAGA